CCACCTAGAGCCGCTCCGTTATTGTTCTTACCTACAAAGGAGGCTCGCTTTCGGATATACGCAACCATAGAGAAAACAGTCTGATCTTCAAATTCTCCAAATCACTCGCCTTTATAATGCTTTACAGACTGACTTTCGATCGTGAAAGCCAGACTGATGAGTAGCAGGCCGGGTTTCGTCGGGGTCGTAGCTGCAGCAACCTCAACTTTCCCCTGTGTCATTTGTTGGAGCACCGTCACACATATTGGTGGCCTACGGTAGTCGTGTTCCTCGCCATCAAAAGTGCCTTCTAGTCGGTCGAGCGATGTGCCTTTTCAAATCTTCTACTCAGGAACGATGTGCCCGAAAAATATGTAAATATTATCAAAGCATTATACGCGCGCAGCACAAGCAGCCTGAGGGCTTACGGCAGGCTGTCGCTACCCTTCAATATCTCCAGCGGTGTGAGACAAGAATGCCCGCTGTCACTTTTCCTCTTCAAGTTCGTTACTGACGAAGCCATGGAGATTACGTTTACAAGACATGACTTGGAAGGTGTGGATCTACGCCCAGGGGAACTGCTTCTTGACTTAGAGTACTCAGAGGACATTGCTCTCATCTGTGACAGCTCTCAGGCGTGCCAAACCGCGCTGAACAGGTTAGCACTGGCTGTCAGCCGTTTTGGGCTTTGCTTTGCCCTATCGAAATGCAAAGTGTTCCTCCGAGGTTGGCAGGGATCGTCTCCAACGCTGACCCTTGGTAAGGAACAGCTAGAAGTCACTCGGAAATTCAACTACCTGGGATATTGTATCAGCGCCTTTGGAATCAAAGACGAGATCATGAACCGTATAGCAAAAGCTCGAAGTGCTTTTGCTAACCATGGCCACTTATGGCGGCGGCGCGACACTACTCTCGCCCTGAAGTGTAGTGTGTACAATGCAGCGTTACGTTCGACCATACTGTAAGGTTGCGAAACCTGGCCCCCTATGGTCAGCAGACATGAAGAGGCTAATTACGTTCGATCACCGGTGCCCTTGCAGTTTGGCTCACATTTGGTGGGAACACCGCGTGAGTAATTAGTGTGTTCGTCGCTTTGTTTACGGCACAGAAAAATGCTCTGAACCGCTCAGCACCGTCATTTCAGGCACCAGGCTCCGATGGCTGGGCCACGTGTTATGCATGCTATCCCGCCGACTTCCACGACGTGCGTTGTTTGCCTACCAGGGATGTGGATGAAAGAAAAGGAGGGGCGGCCAAGCGATGACCTGGATGAGAGGAATGAAGTACCGCACTTAGGAGCTGACTTCTGTTGGAGCGTCAAGGCTCCCTGGTTAGGGTACAACAGACGGTGAAGACGTTTGACTGGATACATTTGCTGAAATGGCAAGGAGCCGACCTCCGTGACATTCGTGCTGTGAGTTTCTTTGTCACTCCCCATTCATTTTGGCCTCCTCTCCACCTACGATCTTATTTCATAGTGTAAAACCTAATAATTTTTCTTGTTGCCTAGTAGCCGGCTGGTGGCTTACCGAAACGATGCTTATCCGTTGCTGGTAGCTCAGCTGGCATGCAACTGTTGTATTTATTTTCATTTTCCTTTATTATTGCGGCACAGTAGCTGAGGTGTCCCAAAATCTAGCTGGCGTGTACAACGAATGATTGAATCCTGACCTACTTGAGTTCCACTGCGGTCATTTCTGCTTTGAGTCTGCACTATGCAAAGTGTAGACGCCACCACTAAGGCATCCTGCAAGGGATAATAAGGAATAACCCCCATGAATTGTCTCCATTAAAACCCCTTGTTTTTTAACTTATCCATTACCGCAACCACAACACCCAGGCGGTCTCAGTCGGATCAGTCGCACGTATCGTACAGGTGCTAAAATTAAAATTCTGAATGCAAAAGTTATTTTGCCACTAGTGATTAGTTCTTGATGTGCAAGACCCCCTCACTGACAAGCTGGTTCAAAGGCTGCATGGCTTCTCTTTTCACTGTACACTGTCAGTGTCTAATAATTTCAACAAACAGTACAGCCTAGCCTACTGACTTGCAGGTTCGCAGACCCGTAGTTATTCCTTACATAGGATATTGCAGGTAAGTGACGAAGCCACCCGAGCAGGCGAATTTCAATCCTTACATCCTACTTACATCTGCATTCCTTGTCTTCAGCTTTATACCTGTCACTTTCCAACTTCTTAGGCCACCGGGTCTGTGGAAAACTCTTGGCCTACTGACATATGAGGTACGCTTAGGAAAGGCATTCTGCCAGAACTAAGCATTGTGTAAGATGTTGAAAACAGTTTTTGCTGCTGATACACCTAAGGTTAGCATTAGATTTGGCCAACCTCGTCTAAATACTGGTTTTAGATGAACAATTAGGTGCCTCGGTAGATGTCGGTTACTAGCTGGCCTTAATTGATGCGTTTTCATTAAGCCTGAGCACTAGCTACTTTACTCCGCCGTTTCCACCTACCTTCAGTATGGAACCAGCAAAATACTATATATATCCTACATGTTGTCAACAAAGTGAGCTTTGTAACGGTTCTAGGCCCAAGAAGCGGACTTTTGCTCTCCATTTGTCCTCGCTTCGCTCCAAATACACAGTTTTTCCTAGTATACATATGCCTATCACTGTTAGCTACACTAGTAGACAGGAATACTGAAAGCCAGATCCTCTTCTTTAACCGCTTTTGCTAGTAAAACACACACATTTCCGGATTCCATTTGATTGGCACGAAAGCTAAACAACGGCAGAGAGGCCCTTGTCACGCTAGTTGGCTGGACCACCAAAAAATTCCCATCACCACTTTTGTTAGCTTGACCGCCAGTGCCTTAGTTATCTTTTAGCCGGATTCAATGCCTATCATGCATTATGCGTGATGGTGGGTGAACAACCAGCTTCCACTATTGTTTGTTGCTATTCTACACTTAATTTACCTTATCCCTCTCTGTTTAGGGTGTTAGAACTGCTCTTGCCAGGCAAACCACAAAGGAACTAGCCGGTTTGACAGTATAGCACTAGTTAACATTGCCAGCTGGATGGGCACCGCTGGCACTTGCTTCCGCACTTAATTTAGAGAGAAATAGCTGGAAATTAATCAGAGTTGCACATTTGTGTGCATCAACACATGAGGCATAGTAATCCCTCATATTTAAGCCCCCGCAATCCACAGACGTAGAGTTGTTAATGCCCAACCAACGCAGACCCAAATAGATTTCAAACTCCAAAACCTTTTGCTTAATGTTACCATATTTCTCGTACTCATTTATTTATTATCATAACCGGGCTCCACTAGCTTATTGGAGTTGGAGACATAACCTCATGAAGAGGAAAAGCCCGCTCCAAGGAATAAAACTTACAAGGTTTAGCTAAGAAAGATGTGTATTTCCAAGGCCAATATGTGTCGACTTAACCGAATGGTCTCATGTATTATTCAGGTTGACCTGGCTCATGCAGCCTTGGTTTGAACTTCATAACCGATTACAGGCTTAAAAAATACTAAACACTATACTTCTAGTGGTTTATGGGCTCTGTATTGTAGCGCCGTAAAAGAATTGCCATCTTTCATGTACAATTTAATTGTTGTCCGATTGTACATAACGCTTTCTTGTTTTACTCTTCCTTACAATCGGCTCGACACTCGGCCGCCTTATAGGTTACCGCGCCAACCTGTTCGCTGTTGTCTCGCTTCATCCGTCCGCGTTTGCTTGTAGCCCATGGAATACAGTCCGTTGTGTCCGACTCTGATTGTCTTCTGATATCCGCGCTTAATTTCGCGCTCCGTCTCGGACTAGTATTAACTAGTGATACAAATTATTTACCCCGATTCGCGCACTCCAAATCAACTTCTTCCTCGTTTGTATTTTGTTGTTCGTTCCCTTAATTCAATTATATACCTCTATTTATTTGTTTCTTGCGTAAGTTAGTACTATAATCGTGTTTTTGTTCATCCTTTATCTATTTGTATCACATTTCGAGAGCGGATTCAGGGTCGTTTCACAACGCAAACATGTTTACTTTGGTTGCTCCAGGTTTTATGGAACACAGCTTAAATGGTTAGTTCAATATTCCAAAGAACCTATGCTTGTATGCATATTTGATCATGCTTTTAGAGATGTGTTTCGTTTTACAGAGAATATACCATTTACTTATTTGTTTATTTATAGGTCGAACTGGAAATTATGGACATTACGGCAGACATTCCGAAGTACAATCAGCTCGAGCAACGCCTTCCTTCGTCGGTTTTGACGCTGATCGAGGAGATTCTACTTCGCCCATCAAATGCAACAAAGTACAAAACTATGGACAGCGATATTTTTGAGTTACGGCCCAGCGCACGAGCTCGAGTTGAACAGATCAGTGGTCTCAAGCTTGGAGATCGCAAAACATCGGCGTTGCTTCGCTAACCTCAGTGCATCGCTAATCTCTTATTCTTGAGCAAAGAAGGATAAAAGAGCTGTGGGTTGCATCTCTCATAGAGACGATGCGGGTAATTCTGTCCATGTGTATAGAAACAACCCTGAAAAAGTTAGCTACAAAAGCAGGCGCTGCGTGCGAAATTCTTCTGCAGCAGACGGCCAGCAGCTCCGGTGACATATTCACACCGATGCAAGCCGAATCACATATTTGCTACTAGTCAGCAGACCAATCGGACCCTAAAGCAGAGGAAATTGCGGTACTTCGCAGCAGGATAGTAGCAATGCATGTTTAGAAGCGGCATATGCCGCGGTCAAATGCTGACCACATTTTGGCTACTGTTCAATGCGGCTCGCCTGTGCTTGCACCGAGTACATCTGGTTCGGCACGAAAACGCAACGTATTCCCCGCACGTTATCAGTCAGATAATACCAAACCTGTCGAAGAAGTATGTTGGTATCATCGCCAATACGGTGGATGCGCTAGGTGCTGTCGGACTCCCGGCATAAGCAAGACCCACCTGCTTCAGGGATAGCGAATAGCCCACGTACTAGCACGACAAACGTATTTGTCAATAACCAAGCAAATCGCCTGTTTTAAGTTATGGATCGACTTGCTTTCATCACGTTCTCATCGACACGGAAGCGAAGTCAGCGTCATCCTAGCGACCGATTGCGACAAGCACTCAGAGACTATGTACAATTTGCTTGCAGCCAATGGTTCTCGGATGGTTTCACTCGGTCAGCGCATGATGAATCTAGACCTCAGTCTTTGCCGAGTTTTCAGTGGACCTTTATGTTTGCGTCTCTACCCTTCGCAATTATCGGTATCGACTTCATCCAACATTTTGTGTTGCTTGTTGATTCTGGTCGCCACAGACATTTAGACGACCGTGCTAAACTAGGCTTCAAATGCATTCTTACGGAGGCCCCAATACTCAGCCCCGTTTTTCGAATCGCCGATGTATCGCCAGCTTATGCGAACCTACTCCCTGAATACCTGTGGCTGGTACGACCAGCTGCAGAGCTTCCGCCAGTCACGACAGAGGTCGCTGAGCACATAGTCACGCGTATTCTGCCAGTTATCCCACAACCAGGACGGCTTGCTCCTGACAAACTAGGTGCAGCACAAGCTGAATGCGACCACATGCTTCAGCTTGGTACCCTCAGATCGTCCAAAAGCTCTTGGGCGTCGCCTCTGCACATGGACGCGAAGAAGGTCATGGGGACTGGCGTCCTTGCGAAGACTATTGAACTTTAAATACGGTTACCACGCCCGACCGCCATAAGCTTCCACATATAGTGGAGTTCACCGCTAGTCTGGCGGATAAAAATATCTTGGTACGCGAATACTACTAAATGCCGGCAGCCGAAGCGGACGTAGCTGAAACTGCCGTGGTGACTCCATTTTGGTATGTTCGAGTTTATGCGCATGCTATTTGACCTAAATAATGTCGGGAATAGTTTTCAGCGTTTTATCGACCAAGATTTTCGCGGCTTAGACTTCGTTTGCGCTTATCTCGACGACATGTTAATCGCAAGCTCTTCACGAGAAGAGCACGGGCGTTACGTACGAACACTTTTTGACAGTTTATCTCAACACGTGGTAGCGATCAACGCAGAAAAGTGTTCGCTTGGTGTCGACTCAGTCAACTTCCACTGCCACGGTATCTTCTCTGCAGGCGTCGTGCCACTGCAGGATAAAATTCAAGCCATCATCGAATATCTCGAGCGTCAGTCTTTCAAACGGCTCAGGCGTTTTGATGAGCTTGTCTACTTTTACCGACGGTTCTAACCAACTGCGCATCGCTGATGAATCCCTCACGAACCATCTCCGAGGGAAACTCAGGTAACTCGAATTTCCTACCTCAGCACCCGCTGCTTTTAAGTCACTGAAAGAGGCTATAGCCAAAGTAGCTTCTATTGCGCATCCAGATCCGGCCGCTCCACTGTCCCTCAGTACTGACGCCTCAGACTTGGCAGTCCGTGCTGATTTGCAGCAACGAGTAGCCGACAACTAGCAGCCCTTAGTGTTTTCACCAAACGCCTACAACCTACCGAATGTCGCTACAAAACGTTCGGTAGATAACTATTAACCGTATATCTAGGGATACGTCACTTTCTACACGCCTTATAAGGCCACTTCCATACCGTCTTTATCGACCGCAAACCCCTGACTTACACGCTCGGCTCAGCTACCGACTGATACTCTCCTGGAGAGTCGCGCCACCTTGACTATACCGCTCAGTTTACAACCGATATACGTCAAGTCCCAGGTGTGCACAGCGCCGTCGTTTATGCACTTTCCCGCATCCAAGCTATCTCTGCTAACGTCGGCACTGTTATAGGCTTGGCGGCCATGGCCACCAAGCAACTCAACGATCCTGAGGTTTATCAACCACGCAGGTCAATCTCAGTGGACATACCGCCCGCTCCGCTGATATCATCAGACGGAACTATGCTTTGCGATTTATCTCTGGACACGCCGAGCCCAGTCGTCCCACGCGAGGTTCGGCAGACCGTGTTCGACACGTTGCACAGATTGTCAGGTCCAGGTGTTCGTGCATCGGCTAATCTAGTAACCACACGAATCGTTTGGCGCAATGTTAATGGAGCATCCATACCTGGGCAGCTGCTTGCCTTCTCTGTCAATGCGTGAAGGTGCACAAGCACACGAGAAGCTCATTACGCACGGTTCCGACGCCAGGCGCAAGTTATCTTCACGTGCACCTCAACGTCGTAGATCCTCTGCCGCCTTCCAAAAGCTCCGTATATCTACTGACCTGTGTCGGTCGATTTACCAGATGGCTTGAAGCCGTCCCTATCCCAAATTGCTCTTTGAAAACAGCAGCGGAAGCTTTTCTGGACCGCTGCGTAGCTCAATTCGGCTGTCCCGCCATCGCGACTGCGAATCGATGCTTAAGGATTTAGGCTGTCGCCACGTGCAGGCGAGGGCCTATCATCCGGTCGCTAACGGCTTGATGGAGTGTTTTCACCACCAGATGAAGGCAGCGCTACGGGCGGACGCAGATACTTGGTGGTCTGAAACACATCCACTCGTCCACCTAGAATTAAGAACCACGGTTAAAACCGAATTCGACGCCACACCAGCGCACCTAGTCTACGGTTGAACGCTGCGGTTGCCCGGACAGCTGGTAGGTCTAGCCGCTTCTACTTCCTTCTCTGACTACGAAAGTTACACTTATCGATTGGCTCACCAGATGCGTGAGCTGCTTCCACCCGCTCCTCGGTCGCAGAAGACACCAGTGTAAGTGCATTTGTAGCTGTTTACTTGCCCACACGTCCTTCTTCGCGCAGCCGGTTTTCGACACCATCTTCCGTCGCCATACATAGGACCTATTAAATGCCAAAAGGTGCGAATAAGGCGTACACAATTGACCGCCGTGGTCTACGCAAAGTAAGCACCATCGAGCGTCTAAAACCCGCCGTTATGAAAGAAACCACCTCGCCTTTTTTGTTTAGTAGCGCTTCGTGCAACGTCACGACTCTCCGCACCATCTTTCAGCATGCTAGTGAAGTTCAACCAGACCACAGTCTTGGTCAACAAGGTTCAGCCGTCCCGACATCTCCTGAATCTAGCCCGACGCATCCCAAGAAAAGCGCCGTGTTCGAGAGGGGCGTAAGCCAGTTCGTTTCTCTGACTAGGTCCGTTAAACTTTGTAGATATTGTATAGATTTGCCCCACTTTGGTCGATTAACGTTATGAAAAAACAAAAATATGAAACATCACTGAAAACCTTTAAAAATATACAAAAGCCAAAAATGTTACACACTCAGATCATTTCTTTGTGTCTTTTGGCGCTTTCTGCGCAAGCTTTTATAATTTCTCATCTCAACATGCCTCAACCCTCCTCTTCGATCGACTGGCCAGCAGGACTAATGTTTTCTAGGAATCTGACGGGAACTCTGTTCGTTTCTCCGCGGGACAATTGTCGCTCCGTCTTTGGACGACGGTCGTATCTTCGTGGAAGGGGGATCGTTTCGACGCGGGGCGGCGTGCGGCGGATTAGAGACCACTCTCAAACGCACCGTTTGGAAAGAGGAAGGATGAGTTATTGTCGGCCTTTTTCTTGGCTTGCCAGTATTTTTTAATCCGACTAGCCTGCTGCATCGGCTCGCCAAAATGCACCCTACTCTGCAATCAATAAATAATAAATCACAAACGGCATAACGGACTCCGATTTCCTGCGAACCCCCATCTGTCACGGAGGCTGGCTCACTTTTACCCCGAAAGATTTTGCCTTACGTACCTCGCTTTAACAGTCCTTCGCGAAATCGAAGGATTTCTATGTTTAGCCTTCTAGGAACGGAGCTCTGTAGCGCCCTAAAAGAACAGCTATCTTTCATGTACAATTTAATTGTTGCCCGATTGTACATCACGCATCCTGGTTTTACTCTTCCTCACAATCGGCTCGACACTTATACGTTCCCGCGCCCACTTGTTCGCTGCCGTCTCGCTTCATCTGTCAACGACTTCTTGTAGCCCATGGAATACAGTTCACTGTGTCCGACACCAATTGCCTATTGATATCCGCGCTTAATTTCGCGCATCATCTCGGACTAGTGTTAACTAGTCCTACAGCATCCAATGCGACTGGTAAACTGAGGACTTCTGAGAGTGTGTTAAGTATAAGTTATCCTGAATTCCCATGCACACATAATATTCCTACTGGATTTCTCGAGTTTTCATGCAAAGTTGTAGCTTGTTTTCCTACCTTTGCTGTGTATTCCTGCAAGGTGTTTTTCGCCCACCTACGAAGTCCCTAGTCGTTGCAGGGTATTAGGGCTATACGGTGCATTTCTAGAGAGCTATGCCTATTTAGAACGTATACAGCTTAGCTAATTTTTACACTTATTTTATTTTTATGCTATCTGCCTGCAAAGCAGGAACCCATCTTTAGCGAAAAAGTTAAATAACGTTATTCGTAGACCACCATTTCATTGCGAATAACTCGCAAATTACTGCATGTACTGCATTGTTTTAACGTTTAACGTAAGCAGCGGTTACAAATTGTCCTACTCAGCTTATTGCTGCCCTACATTATGGAATATTGTAGCCTTAGAAAATGTGATTCTATTTTTCTGAGATTTATTCAGGGTGGAATTTGGCGCCAGAAATCAATAGCAACGCAAGAAATGTTTAGTTATATATTTTTGTTTACTTGTATCTTTATAGTGAAGCAAGCCGCCTTAGTATGGCTCATAACAAACATTTCTTATTTTTCACTTGCATTTCTCGAGCTCATTTTTAGCTTTTCTTTTACCATAATTCCGCAAGCCTTATTTCTTCCATGTGCGCACCAATAATTGTCGCTACTGAGCGGGCCAAATAAGTCCGATAAATTTAATGTAAAGATGGGGTGAATTGGATCCTTTTCCTGAGGAAACCGGCACAACTACGGTTCTACGCAACTTTCACAACATAAGAACAAGCAGCCCGATATCGCTCGAAGGAACCAGAAAAATTTAAAAGGTAGGCAAATAAATAAATAAATAAACTTTTATTCTCGACAATGCGAGGCACACCTGTACAGGCATGATCATGTTTAGCTAACATAGTGTGATCAAAATGAACAAAGAGTACATATTTGGCATAACAGTGAATGTAAGTGTATGGGTGTATATATGTATGCAATTATCTATGAATGTAGCTTGTATTTTTGCATGTGCCGCAGAATTTTTGACTGTTTGTTATCGGTAGGAGTGTGAGAATAAGCGATTGACGTCTGTGGCTTGGATACCATTTTCCGAATGTCCACGGGCCAGTGACTTTATTTTGTGGCGAGTCACATCCGCCACGTTACAGTGTTGATAAGCAGACATTTGTGGCTTTTTATAGGGAGAACGCTTGCCGGGCGAAACTCCACCACGTCCTGGAACACTGCCGCCGAACTATTTGCTGGAACGGGTTAAACCCGAACCACCCGGCTGGCACCACAAGGAGGTTGTTCGGCTAGCCAGCAAAAGTGCTGTAAACCAGACTATTCCAAAGTATTTTTACTTGCCAACTAGGGACATATACTTGTATTTGACCTGCTTCCATGCAAGGGCACAAAAGTAATGTAAAGATTGTTCTGTAACCCTATGGGTTCTGCCCCTAGCCAGTCAAGAAAAATACCTATTAATTTTATAATTTCTTATTTATTATACCTGGATCAAATAAGTTAACCTAAGAACGATAAGGAAACGCTATAGTTAATACCAAGTGTTCAGCTGCGAGTAAAACTCAACCCGCTATACCGGAACGGACTATGGTTGACGAAACTCCACGACAAACTATAAATAGCCCAGTTAACTCGGAAAGTTAAAACATTCCTGCGGCGATCCAAGCAAACCCACACTAACAAACGCGTGGAGAACAGAGTCGCGGACGCATCTGGCCAAATATCCCGTGTATGAACCACAGCACCGAGTAAACCTGAGCCGCTGAGTCCAACGTTACCAATTTTGAAAATAGGAAAAGCGGAGACCTTAGCAACTTATAATGTTGCGGGCGGGACTAAATGGTATAGCACAAAAGCGTTCTATATTCCAGACGCTATGTCAGTGGACGCATATGGACGTGTAATTATCACGGTTTATAGCATTGCAACGAACGCACTGCAGGTTCAACGACTGACCCAGCGAGTAGGTAAATTTGCGACCCACAACAAACTGTGCGTAAAGCATAAGGCAGCATTGCGTACTCTCATAGCTAACCGTGGACAACCGCAATGCAATGCTTATCGTTCGCAGCCTACTTTCGGGCCACTGAAAATAAGCATAAGTTGATCT